AATTCAAGAATATTGAATTTTGTTGTTTTTGCGAATTTGAACTTGTGTTTTTGGTTAAAAATTATGTCGAAGCCGATAAAAAGTTCATCGAGGAAACTTCTTTCCATCATGATTGACAAGTTTACTGAAGTGAAAACTGAATTAAATAAAAATTTCATGGAGAAATTACAACGATTAGATAAAGTTGTATCTTTTTTAGGTTAGTTTTGTATTATAATTTTGATACTTTCGTTTTAATTTTCTGTAATTAACTAAACAGATATTTTTTATAAAATATTGCTCTATTTCAGATAACTGTGATGGTGATATTCAACCAATAATGGAGGAGATAAATGCAATAAAAACTTTAGAAAAACAAGAAATGCTGAATTCGGAAACGCAGTACTTACAAAAAATTTCTTCAATGACAGGTCTCTTTTCTTGTTTTGATTTAAGATAGATTGATAGTATTCCTATAATATTTACATAGGTTTTTTATGATGTATTGGTTTTTATTGTTGACATCCAATGATGTCATAAGAATGTTTTGTTTAACAAGGAAATTCACAGAATTCATGAAACTAATCAAACCATGTAATTGTTATACATGCTAAATATGCACATAAACTTAACTAAATTAAACATAAATTGCATTCATAGTTGAATAGGTATTTAAATTATTTTGATGTATGTGTCTATCATTATTTGCTTTTAAATACATTTAACATATCTTTGTTTCAAAGTGTTTAATCTTTTATAGATGTAAGTATAAGGACACTAAGAAGGATAAAAAATGAAGCATTAATTAATAAAGGAAAATGGGACACTCCTGGGAAAAAACGACCTCATCAACCAACAGTGTCTGCTTTAGATAATTTTGATTTAAGTGCAATTCGGAATAAAGTAAATGAATTTTACTGTGTGAAAAAAATTGTTCCAACATTAAGAAGCCTTCACAATGAATTAAAAGATGCAATAGGATTCAGTGGTAGCTGTGAGACTTTACGAAAAATTATGCTTAAGAATGGATTTTCTTTTAAAAGCAATGAAAATGAACGTTCTATGCTTATAGAAAAATACCAGATTTCTGCATGGAGGCACAAGTATTTGAGAGAAATAAATATAAAACGAAACGAAGGAAAGCAAATTGTGTACCTTGATGAAACTTATGTACATCAGAATTATAAAGTTAAAAAGTCTTGGCAAGGACCTTCAACAACTGGTGTCACTACAAAGATATCCTCTGGAAAACGGCATATTGTTGTGCATGCTGGATCTGAGGAAGGTTTTGTGCCTGGTGCATTATTAGTGTTCAGTAGTAAATCCAAATCTGCTGATTATCATGATGATATGAACTCATCGAACTTTATGAAATGGGTCAGAGAAAAATTAATACCAAATTTAAGTAAGCCCAGTGTAATTGTTATGGATAATGCCAGCTACCATATAAAACAAATCAATAAACCGCCTATAATGTCTAATACCAAAGCAGATATCCGTAAATGGCTTGTAAATAATGGAATACATTTTGAGGAATATCAGACAAAGGCAGAGTTAATGTGTTTGGTTAATGATAAGAAAACATTGCCTGTATATGAAGCTGAAGAGATTTTAAAAGAACATAATCATGAACTTTTATTGCTGCCACCGTATCATTGTGACTTAAACCCAATAGAGATGGTTTGGAGTCAAGCAAAAAGAAAAATTGCAAGCAGAAACATTGGAATACCAGGAAAGGAAATGGAAAACTTAATAATAGAGTGTTTTAACTTAATTACCCCTAGTGACTGGAAGAAATACACTGATCATGTTTTAAATGTCGAAAATGATTACAAATTAAAAGATGGCATTGTTGAAAACGAACTTGAAAAATTTATTATATCTGTTGGTGCAGACAGTAGTGAAGAGAGTGACTCTGATGATTCCTTGTCATTGTTATCAGGTGTAGAATATTTAGAAACAGATTTTGACTATGAATCAGACTAAAGTATTTTTAGTCTGATTCATAGTCAAAATCTTATCTTAAATTTTCTATTGTGATTAACATGATGATTTTGTGACACCTGTATTATGTAATTTATCCATGGCACTTAATTGTAACAAAAATAAATGTTTTTTTTATTGTAATCTGGTGTTTATATTGACTAATTTAATTTGATAGATAGTGGTTCTGGATCAGAGCAAAAGGTTGTGATGAAAATCCCTTAGGAGACATGTATGTGTTATGAACACATTATAAATATAAGGGCCAGAAATCAAAATTGGCTAACATCACATTTATTAAAAAAATGTGGCCAGAGTCGCCCATATTCATTACAAAAAAACAAAGAAGTCGTTGCAAAAAACACCCTTTTAATTAATGACAAATATGAATTTTTAATATTATAAGTGCTGTTAGCCAATAGGTATAACGAATGGGTTAAAAAAAAGATTCGATTTAGTCCGTCAGTCAGATAATAGAAAAATATTGGATACGTATTTTTTTTTCGCTTTAATTTAACAACAAATGGCTTAAGAGGTACTATGCGACGACTTCAAATATGCTTTGCAACAATGTTACTTTAATACAGTTTATCGATACGAAATCAAGTGTCAAAATGGAGTCCAGTGGAGAATGCCGATATTGACATTTCGAAATTGCTCATCATTGATAGAGAATACGAAATAGTGATTTTGACACAATCAAAGTGTCTATTTTTTACGGTGATGACGATTCTTGGTTGTCAGTTGAGTTAGTGAATAGGCCTACTGATATGCTGTTAACTGTACAATTAAGAACAGTCACGCTTTAGTCAAATGTTCCAAAACAAATAATTTTAATTGATATCTAAATGTTAAGATTAAATATAATTAATAAAAGTATCAAAATTATTTTGCAGTACTACATTCAGTGTTTACTGCTTAAGAATTTTTGAAATTGCCGCCCTTTTCTTGTGACACGTTTCGCTTGCCAGACTCTAATGGACACATTCACAATACTTTTTTTTTAATATTTCTGGCAACCTATCCATTTATAAAATTAAATTAAATTATTATATCGGGTTGGCACAAAAGTAATGAGACACTTGGTTTATGTTTTTACTTTTTTATTATTATTACAATAAAAAAAGTTTAGTCAATAATGTAATTACCATTAGTATCTAAGACTTCTTGCCAACGATCCGGCAGAGTTTGGATGCCTTTTGCCCAGAATTCTGATGGCTGTGCCTCGAAAAAGTTGTTCAACTCCGCCTCTACGTCAGAGAAATCATTTAATTGTTTACCCCGCAAATGCTGTTTCAGGGCTCTAAACAAATGATAGTCTGATGGGGCGAGGTCTGGGGAATAAGGTGGGTGGGGTATCGTCTCCCAGCCCAAGTTCTCCAACTGCCGGCGAACCACAGATGCGACGTGAGGTCGAGCGTTATCGTGCAGTAAAACTACATTGACTCGTCTTCGTCGTTTTTTCTTGATAGCGGCAGATAATTTGGTAAGCTGGGTTGAATATTTGTCAGCGTTTATAGTTTCATTGTGTAATAGCTCATAAAACAGTATGCCTTGCGCATCCCAGAAACAGCAAAGCAGATTTTTTCGGCGGTTCTTTTGACTCGGCTTCGGTTGAGTTGGTGGCGTTTCTTCTCTAGGCAGCCAAAAAGCACGACGTGTATCGTTCTCGTAATAAATCCATGATTCATCTCCAGTAACCAGATCTGACAAAAACTCTTTACGTCGGGGTCGCAGCAAAAGTGACTGACAGATAGCGACACGGACTGCACGACTGGCGTCTGTAAGGATGTGCGGTACCCACCGAGCCAAAACTTTTCGATAACCAAGCTCATGCAGATGGTGTTCCACGGCATGGTGACTGCATTTAAGTGCTTCCGCTAATTCACGAGTGGTAGCATCCGGATTCAACTGCAGTTCGCGGCGCAAATCGTCATCATTCACTGCGGGTGGTCGCCCTGAGCGTGGCTGACTTTCAAGGCTCCTGTCTCATGATTTAAAACGGTCAAACCATCGGGACACCGTCGCATGGCTTGTACTTCCAGCGCCTAATGCATTGTTGATATTGTCAGCCGCAGCCCGCGCACTGTGGCCTAACAAGTACTCGTATAAGTATAGTGTTCGAACTTGTCGCTCGTCCATTTTTCTTCAAACTGACTAAACAAATCGCGAGCGCGGCTTTATATACCCTACACCAGAAGTACCTAGAATGTTCTACAACATTCTAGAATATTATCGAAAAAATTGATTTTAAAAAGGAAATGTTATAGATTTTTCTAGTGTGTCTCATTACTTTTGTGCCAGCCCAATATATTAATGCATTTGAATTATTTATTTACCCCTGGCTACCTTAATCTACCACCAGTTCCAACTTTGGGAGTCTTGTTTGAGAAGAACTGGCGAAACAAACTCCGTCAAGAAAAGTGAATTACTCTCTATGATTTAACACCTCTATCCAGATCACACTTTGCAAAACAAGTTCATTCTACTTGTTTTGTTGCAAAGTGTGATCTGGATTGAGATTATATTTGACTAATTACTGAATCTCAAGTCGGTGGTTTATGTAAACCACCTTCATCTCTATTAAAATTCGGATATTTTTTAATTTCATTAGCCTCGCGTATTATTCTAGGGATGATTTTTTGTTTAGCCGCGAGTATTTTGGGTTGTCAAATCTTATGTAATGCTTGAATTCTCTTAATGCATGTTCACACATCGCAGATTTATTTTTGCGCCTATGCTTAATGTCAGCTATATATTCCATAACGCGAATTCTTATGCTCCTCTTTGTCTGCCCGATATATGAGAGCCCACAGTCATATTCTAGTTTGTATTCACCTGCTTCTTGAAAGGGGATATTACACTTGATAGGTCTTGAAAATTTATTGATCTTCTTCGGCGGCTTAAAATAACTATTGATAGAATCTGGCTTCAAAATTTTTCCAATCTAGTCTGTGACATCTTTCATGTATGCATGTTGACGCTCGACTGTGATAGGCTTGACCCGTTTTTTTGTGACTGAGGCGTGGTACATGCAGTTTGTTATCCCGTAGTACTTGCTTGAGATGCTAAAGTAAAGCTGTCAGGTGTTGATTGTCACAGATGCCCTGTGCAAAATCGTGTTGAAACCATTTAAAAGTTGATCAATTTATAGTAGTGCGCGTGAAAATACAAGAATTCAATATGAAATCTTGTAGTTAATATGAAATAATGGACAACATATTTTATCGCGTGTTGCATCTATTATTAGCGTTAATTTGATCGATTCCTATATTTAGTTGATCAATCGGTCGCTGTGTATTTATATCGGAAAAATACCATACTAACGATGAATAGCCATTAACAGTGTACTCAAATATACATATAAAAAATCTCTCATTGTTTTTAAAATGTGGTTTATATGTTAGCATCGGTCGCTTATTTTTTTTTACGTTGTCACATAAATACTTTTTCATATGCGTTGCATATCGTAAAAATGTTTCACCTAGAAGTTTAAAAATGTATTGTGGCAACGAATTCTTTATAGATGGGCTTGGTGTGGCTACTATTTTTCTGCGGGGTTTCCTCAACGGTGGCCCTTGATAACGGCTTGGCGTTGACGCCCCCCATGGGGTGGCTCACGTGGGAGAGGTTCCGATGCATCATAGACTGTAAAACTTACCCTATGGAATGTATTAGGTGAGTTTATAAATTACAGTGATACTTAACACAATTATTGAATTCTTATAAAATCATTGCTTTTGCATTATGCCATTTAGTAATATTTCGATTCCTGTCACTATTGTTGGGGGCTTTTTTGTTAAAATTTTTTGGTAACTGATCCATTTTATTCGGTTATGTAGCGAGAATCTAATAAAACGTACCGTGGATCTCATGGTGAGCGATGGTTATCGTGATGCCGGGTACGAATATGTCGGCATCGATGACTGCTGGCTGGAAAAAACAAGGGGACCAGACGGTCGCTTAGTACCAGATAGAGAACGTTTCCCTAGTGGGATGAAAGCCTTAGCTGATTACGTGAGTAAAGAGCACTTGTGATTATCGGAATTCTATATTAATGACGAGGTAAAGTTTCTAGTTTTGTATGTTTGTAGAGGGTAATCAACGAAAATACTGATCTGATCATGATTTTTTTTCATTTACGCAGATTGTGCTCCTTACGCCTAAACCACACACGGGTAACCAGGCCCGGATCTACAACTTTTTCCAACCGGGGCAGAAGCTAGATTTTGCGCCTTTACACCCCTATTTACCCCTTTACGCACATATTGTTTTATAGGGTGCCCTTTGCTTCGCCTTAAATTATAATTCCTTATTTAACATGGCCGAACTGTATTGACCTAAACTTATAACGTATAATTATTGTTTAGCCTAAAAGTTGTTTTGGCACTATCATAGTTTGATCTCAGAATTGAAAGCCCTAATTTTAGAATTCCTGATATGAAATCCACTAAAATATATTGGCATATCTTCATTTCGCTTAAATATTAAAGCTCTCATTTTAGCATTTCTAATCTTGAATGTGCAAAAAAATAATTGGCTTGAAAAACGAATCGCAGCAAAACCGACACCGCCGTAAAACCGACATCACGTAGTCTTGTTTGTCCGACTCCTAGAGTGTAATTTAAGCCCGCGAGCTGAGGAGCAGGTGGTTTTAACGACCACCGCCGCTGCGGTGGTGGGCGGAAACCATCTGCGACGATAAGCTCGCGTGGGACCACCGGAGCCCCGCAGCGCCGGAGCCGTGACAGAAGCCATGCGTGCTGCATGCTTGCTTGCGTGCTGCATGCTTGTTTGCGTGCTGCATGCTGCATGCTTGCCTAAGTAATTTTGCCTGATAAAAACGTTAAGGCATATTATACTTTCGTGCGTTTTAATTTTGTGCGCATTACTATTTATTGATTGCGAGGAGTAGGTATAACATATTGTTCCGCCTAATGTCACATTTGGTAAGTTACAATACGGCGATAAAAAGTTACTCGAAATGATATTAGATTAAACACCATTAGGAATAATAAAATTGTGCGAAAAAAAATTAGGCTGACCGTTTACGTGCCAAAGCCAATTAGGAGTACAAAAAATTAGGCAACTCAATATACACCCTGTTTTATATAATAAAATTCAGAGACGTAGCGTCTATGAATTTATTTTTTTATCTGTATTATATTATCATGATTCTGGCGTCTCCCTGACGCTAGCATCACTTGCCCCCTCTAGATCCGGGCCTCCGTGTAACATAGGCAAATTCTTGGGAAAACAGCTAGTCTCTTATAGGCACGGGTTATCGCGTTCTCTGTTTATTTAAAACTAGCTTTCCGCCGGCGCCTTCGCCCGCGTGTTCCCCAGGGAACTGTTTATTTGGATATCGATTCATATCCCGGATATAATACTAATGACAAATTGAATAGTAAACAATGGTTACTATGTCAACGTTTTGATTCACTATATAAACTTCCACTCCCATTTTAATCCCCTTATTTGCTGTTTATCGGGATAATATATAGCTTATGTTTACCGCATATGATGTAGCTTCCCGTCGTCCAGTCAAATTGGTCCAGTATTTTAGGAGCCTATTCGTTGGAAACAAATAAACAACCAAATCTTTCTCTTTTATTATATTACTATAGAAAACATCACAGTTTTTATAGTGTTAAAGAAAAGAATATGATAATATTATGCTGTTAAATAAAAAATTTTTGAATCGCAAATTAGTAATATCTGTTAGTCACATAATATTTTAAAAAATGTTTAAAATTATTTTTGAACGAACACTAATGATTTTTTACTAATGATGATGCGTTTTTAAATGCCTCAAGAAAATATAACGTGTTATCTTAAAATAGTTTGTTATGTTTAAAATTGAAATAAAGTCGAAACATTTATATTTTTCAGATCCATAGTAGAGAATTAAAGTTCGGCATTTACCAAGACTACGGTAACTTAACATGTGCAGGCTATCCAGGTGTATTGGGATACGAACGGCTCGATATAGACACTTTCGTTAGTTGGGATGCAGATTACATTAAGCTAGACGGTTGCTACATAGAACCTACCGAAATGGACAGTGGTAAGTAAAAAGAGCGCACTAAAGAATCAAGTGATATAATTTTCCTTTCTTGATTTGATTTCACTTGAGGGTTGAAAGTAGACAGATCATCGATTCATCGAGGCATCGATTGGAAATAAATGTTTCTATTTATTACTATTGATTGATTTATAATATAGAACTTACGAAAAAGTCATTTTCATTGCGTCTAATTTGTTGTTTCAAAACTTTTACCTTTATATCGCGTATAAAAAGAAAATAGCAATATTATGATACAAATAACGTATTATTTTCCAGGATATCCGGCCTTCGGAAAATTGTTAAATGACACCGGTCGACCTATACTATACTCATGCAGCTGGCCGGCGTACCAAGAGGATAAGAAAATGCTGGTAAGCTTCTTTATGAGGTAGTTTTATTGTTATTTATAATCACATTGTTTGTGCTATGCCCTCTTTATTTTATAATAAATAAATCTTTAAAAAAATATTCCAATTAAAAGGAAAAGAAGGAATAATTAAAGATGTATATACCTTAGAAAGTTTATAATCTAAGACACAATATAAACTGATGATTCATTTTTGCGGAAACATATTATAATTGTTATTTCTTGATTAGTGTTTTCAGTGATCAGTATGTAGTAAGGCACGTCTTTTGCATAGTTACACGATTGGAATAAATTGTAGCTAGTAAATTATTTCTGTTTATTTAAATAACACGAAATGAACAAAAACATGCTAAAACAACTCATTGATATTTCACTATCCTTTAGCTCTCTAGACAGCCCTGACGAAGCTGTTATTAATTAATAACATATCTTTTTACAGCCTGACTATGCGTCGATCGCACATCACTGCAATCTATGGCGCAATTGGGATGATATTGATGATTCCTGGTGGTCGTTGGAGAGGATCATGGACTGGTTTGGGGACAACCAGGATAGGCTGGCACCTTACGCAGGCCCCGGACACTGGAATGATCCTGATATGGTGAGTGTTTTATCGGCAATGTACACAGGAGGAGCTCGAGGGCGCATTAGTTAACACGTTCGGTTTGCAAAGTATTTAAGGAACTTCTGCTGTGGCCAGTCATCATGTGGGTAACTGAAAATTGACCATCTCGAGCTCCTACGTGCCTCGCAAGGCACGCTAAGCCGTTGGTACCGGTTGCCTCTGTATTTATTAAGTGCTATATCTACTGTATGCGGTTGGTGCAGTACGTGCTGTCCTTTTGGTGATAGCCTATATGTATTATCTCTTCCTTCTGAGGGTTATGACAAGAGTGAATCTCTGGAAGCTTATCACAATATCTGGAACTTTAAACCTATACAAAATTCAATAAATCTAAATTGCTTAAACTATTTTTGCTGTATGTATCGTCTCGGTCTAACTACATACTTTAAGATATTCTTAATGAAAAATCCACTAGCCTCAGGTACTCTGACATGGGACTCGAACCCACGACCTTTTGTAATCCGGGCGTCTGCTCTCATCACTGAGCTATCCTGGATCTAACAGGACTAACGAATTTTTAAAGCACTTATTACTTTTCGTTATTAACGAGGGTATTTTCATCAATATTCAGGCAATCCACCTAAACATAAAACAGTATAGCATTTTGAATGCATAATAGATCAAATTGATTATATACATAGTCTTAATGCTTTTTCCATTTAGTTGCTGATAGGCAACTTTGGTCTAAGCGAGGATCAGGCGCGAGTACAAATGGCGGTGTGGTCAGTACTGGCGGCGCCATTACTCATCAGTGCGGATCTAGCAACTATGAAGCCGGAGTTCCGGCGGATCCTTTTAAACCGAGACATCATTGCGGTAGACCAGGATCCATTAGGGAAACAAGGGCTTAGGGTCTATAAGGTAAGAATATTATATAGAATTTGCCGAAAATTCTTAACATTAAAGTGTAAATTAGCTAATGTTATACCAGACTAACAAGTCTCTATTAAACCAATCACAAAGAAAAACATAAATGTATGTGATATGTATGTACCTGAACTGTCAATCACTAACCATAAACGAAAGTTAGTTACGATCTATCCTATTAATAAATACGTTATCATAAGTAATTTCAATGATCGATAAAATAATTAATCGATAAGAGAATTATTATTTTAAAATAATCATATTTCTATAACAGGAGAAGAAAATAGCTATATGGACCCGTGAGTTGTCTCAAGGTGCTTATGCAGTAGCTTTCGTCAGTCATCGCACTGATGGTGCTGCATATGTATATCGGTACACTCTGAAAGATATCAAACTGCCCGAACAAATTTACGATGTACAGGTGACTATCGGCCAGTTTCTGAATTGGGAAAAGTAAAAAATCTCAATTGATTATTTTCAATAACATAAGTATTTTACGTTTAACCGCTAAGGTTACGTTTATGTACATTTTGAGACGTGCTTAACTTTAAATTCTCAATACAGAAACGTGTAAAGATCTTATTTTACTAGATATTTTAGAGCATTTAGATTTATGAACAACGTATGATAATTAAATAATCTGCGTTCTCAAGAACATTGAAAATAAAATGGATACACAGAATTATGAAGAAAGAAGACCATTCAAGATAAAGAAAAATTGTCTTATTTATATTGGCGCCCCACCACTGATTTTAGTATTATAAATATTAAATTTTATTTAATGAATACATGTAACAGTATAAAATATGAAGCAGGTAATATTAATATTAGTCTGTGATAATACTTCACGACCTACCTAAGGTGCGCAATCGACATGTTGAAAAACAATTGCTAATTTCGCTAAGATAAAATTGTAAACTTTCTAACATCGATAAAATTATTTTATCTTTTTAGGATTTGTATCACGAAGAGCCACACAGAATAGCGACTCCAAATGAGGAATTTGCCGTTAAACTTAATCCTACAGGTTATTTCATTATTTTTTTACTCTTATTTTTATTATTATTTATTTACAAATGTTGATATGTCATTTTTATTGCTTTTTATTATTTCAAGAAATAATAAAAAGCAATAAAAATGACATAATTATTTAAGAACCCAATACGATTTAAACTACTTTTACAGCTATAGTATACCTACCTAATTGTGTTTCTACGTCTATTCGTCCTATTTTTTAAACCTCCTTCTAAAAGAAACCTTTTCGCGATGATAACAAGTGTATTTACTAAAGTTATGCGCGATACATTTTGATTTCTGTTGTGAGATAATTTTGTTTTTTTTTTCTGTTTTAGGGGTGAAATTCTATAAATTCGTTCCGAGATTTGCTAAAAATGAGGATCTAAAGGAAGTAGTGTTGGTAAAAGGAAATTCATTAGGAAATTAAATTATGATTAATTAGAACCTATGTATTACAATATTGTTATCTATAGCATTAAATGTAAGCGATAATAATGTTTTTGTTTTTTTTTTCACACTCTCTCAGATATCAGAAGCATTTGTTTTTGAGACATCAGGCGATGAAAAGCAGGTAGGTACAATGTAATAAATGGATTGTTCGGATTGTTGATCGGGAAATTTGTGGCGAAAATTTGCTAAAAAGCTGTCTAAAGCTTGGCTATTTCAGTAAGTTAAAGTTTTAACGTCAGTTATCACACAGTTTGGCAATGCATGAATTAGTTTCATGACAAGAAGGTAGCTGCGTGCGATGCGTATATTTTTGATAAAACTAATATCACCCAATACACAGCTAGTTTCACGACGATTTACAATTTACTTGACGTCACTAGTGTCGGACGATAAACTATCTGCGCTTAATAGAGCTACGATGTTGATGGAGCCAGTGTCTCAGAGATACATACAATACGTAACGACTCTGAGTGCGGCTTTGTAAAATTAACGAATAAAAGTGTACCCGTATGTTATTTGATACATTAAAAAGCTAAAGGATTAGCCGAATGTTTTTGTATCGTACGATCCAAAGGTACACTGAAACCATGTCTGTTGATGACCGTGAGAGATCCGGCCGACCGCGGTCTATTCGAACAAACCAGGCCGTTGCAACAAACCATGCAGTCATGGCCATAATTCGTCGAAATCCCATAAGGAAGCAGAAAATCCTTTCCAGAGAAACGAGAATCCCACCGAGGACACTTTCTCCCATTATTAAACAAGACTTAGGTCTAGGGGCTTACCGGAGATACATAGGACATACCTTAAATCATACACTAAAATAAAAGAAAGTCGAAAGATCAAAACAGCTGCTACTTCGATATGCGGACGAAAACAGAAAAATTATCTTTACCGATGAAAAAAATTTTACAATCGAGGAGCACTACAACAACCAAAATGATCGAGTGTATCCACACAGCTCTAAAGAAGCAAGGTAGTGGCCAAAGCACAGCGAGGCAGGCTATCATCCCGCATACATCATGGTTTGGTAGGGTGTCTCCTACCAAGGGGTTCCAAAATTCCATTCCAATTCGAAAAAGGAGTGAAAACTTCAGTCAAAGTGTGTCAAGATACCGTGATAGAAACCTCTCAACAACACCTTATTCAAATCGAAGTTTGGGCATTCCTAAAAGATTTAGCCCCGGGTCATAAGGCGCGCACTATCCAAATTTGGCTTGAGCAAAATGTTCCAGACTTCATAATGGCTGATGATTCGCCTTCGGCTAGTCCGGACTTAAACTGTGATCTATCAATTGTGATCTGTGCTAGAGGACATGGCCTGCTCTAAGCGTCACCCAAATATTGAGTCGCTCAAGAAATATTTGGTGGCAGCAGTGACCAAGTTTCCAATGGAAACCGTTCGTAAATACATCTACGAACGACCTGACTATTTAAAAGCGTGCGTTAAAGCTAAGGGTGGACACTTTGAATAACTAGTTTAGTACGTTAACATACCTTTTTCATTCTACATAATCACATAGAAAAAATTTAAAATAAAATTATTTTTTTAGAAATTATCGGATATTTTCTTTGTAACAGAACTTATGGTTAGACTAGGTATTAGAGCAACGAATCATATCGTTTTTTTTTATGGGATAGGGGGCAGACGAGCAGACGGATCACCTGATGGTAAGTGATTACCGTCGCCCATGGACACCTGCAACACCGGAGGGGCTACAAGCGCGCTGCCGGCTTTAGAGGGAAGGGTTGAGGGGTAGAGGGAAGGAAATAGAGAAGGGTTGGGCCTCCGGTACCCTCACTCACACGACGAAACACAACGCAAGCGTTGCTTTACGTCGGTTTTCTGTGAGGCTGTGGTATCACTCCGGTTGAGCCGGCCCATTCATGCCGAAGCGTGGCTCTCCCACGGTTAAAATTCGTATTGCGTACGCGTCAATAACGTTTATTTTTTTATACATCTTTGATACGCGTACCGTAAATATGTCGCAACGTTCGCTATTTGTAGAAAATTTAGTTAAAGTACTTATTGAAAAATTATTAGTATTAATAAAATTATACAACATTGTAACGATAAAAAAAAACTTAGAATGAAGAAATGAAATAAAACATCTTTTGTTCCTATTATAAAAAAATCAATCATAATAATTAAATAAAAAGCATTTAAACAAATTAAAACAACGAAGACAATATTTTTTTAAGAATTAAATTTAACGCGCATCACCGATACTTGTACGTAAAACTGAACTATAAAAGTGTAGATGGAGTACAAAAAATACGAGTCTATATACTGTTATTACACGTTGTTACGTTACTAGTTTGAATATGTATGTAAATTTTATATTGTAAATATTGGAAATTTAGTTTTATTAACACTAATTGCAGCTAACAGCTAGTTTCCAGTGTATGGTAGATAAACGCAACTTATGTGGTGGACAACCAGTTTGTGCATAAAAGTCTGTGGTACCTAGTTGGGTGGAAGTATCGTGGAAGTATCGATATTGTGTAGCTCGGTGGCGTAGTGGATTAGCGCCGCGGCCCGTGATCGTAGTCGTTAAGCAACTTTCGCAAGGGTCGGTCACGGGATGGGTGACCAAAAAAATTATTATCTCGAGCTACTCCGTGCTTCGGAAGGCACGTTAAGCCGTTGGTCCTGGCTGCATTTGCAGTCGTTAATACCCTCCAATCCGCATTGGGCCAGCGTGGAGGGTCATGGCCCATCCTCCTTAACCATCCATAAGGAAGGCCTGAGCCCCTGCAGTGGGGACGTAAAAGGGCTGATGATGATGATGATGATCGATATTGTAGTAAATGTGTAGAGGGCAGGATAGTCGTCATAAAATAGGTGGTCCTTTTTTAGACAGTTGAAACCAGGAAATATGGAAGGGCAAGTGAGGGCACTTGCCGTGAGCGCCAGTGTTGGGGTGCTTTATATGATACCTATTTACAGAAAAAAAATGAGCTTAACAAATCATCTCATATACACATGTACAAAAACCCCAAATAAATATAAAAGAAAAATATCTTACATTGTAATTTTGTCTGATTGAAACAGAAGATAAATGTAACGTTGTACGAATTTAACGTAGGTATTTACTCAGTTCTACTACTCAGTTCTGTAGTTCTTGTAAAATAAATATCGCTTCGTAGAACGAATTTCTCAAAGTAGGGTAGAGTTAAAAATCCCTGAAAACTTCCAATGTTCCCAAAACGTTCAACAGTTTTCAACACTAAATTTGTGGCACCTGTCCCCCTTGTAAAAAAATACATGAATTTGCCAATTATTAGATATAAATAAATATTAAAGAAAGCAATAACAAGTATGCTAAACTGAGGGTATATCGAAATAAGTAATTAATATACCCGAGAGGCAAATGATCATCATAAATTTCCGCCAAATAAAGTTTACAAGTGAAATATTTATTTGAATTGGTTTATTTTAGGCAGCGGGGTCATCGTAGCTTGTGATATTAAAATACAATACATATTAGTGACAAATATATATTCTGACTTTAAAATAGTACGACCCCTTCGATTCTATTTTCTATACCTACCGTTTTATCAATCCACCGGTGAATGGTATATACGATACACGAACGTAAACTTAAACTAAACGTATGCTATTGTATCGATACAAATATAAAGTGAATCACATAAGTATCGGATCATATCAACATCTCTAAAAACATACCTTTATTCTTTTTGGTATTTTACAAAGAGTAAAGTATTTCTATTTGAATTTCCCGCATATGTATGTATACTTTTACTCTTTGGTTTGATTTTTATCAGGAAAGTAGAGAAAATGCATTATTCAAATCAAGTTTAATTTATTCATTCCAAAAACTACATACTATTGGATTTTATTCTCGAATATTTACGAAGTTGTGGCCAACTTTTTTGCGCCGTATGTAAATAGGTATTGGTTATTCATAAAAACGCGAAAGAAAGCTGGTTCTGGAGTAGTAGGTCAATAATGTGATACCGGTAACTTCGGGATTGCTGACGTCGAAGTAAGTTAGACGAGTCCTCAGTGAACTGTGGCGGGGAGCATCAGTCCGTGTCTGTAACTGTGCGGTTAACACGTCGCGCTTGAACTTAACCGTATCACACAACATATCACTTAAGTTTTGCTGAACTTGTACAGTAAAGTTAATCCCAACTATGAGTGGTAAAGTAGAGAATGTGGGCATACTTGCCATGGATTTATATTTTCCTTCACAATACGTCAGTCAGACGGAGCTGGAGAAATTTGATGAAGTGTCTTCTGGAAAATATACAGTTGGACTAGGGCAGCATAAAATGGCATTCTGTTCTGACAGGGAAGATATTAACTCTATATGTTTTACTGCTTTACATAGACTTATAGAGAAGAATAAAATAGATTTACATGATATAGGCCGTTTGGAGGTTGGCACAGAAACTATCATAGATAAAAGTAAGAGTGTTAAAACATTCCTAATGAACTTGTTTACCAAAGTTGGGGCGACTGATATAGAAGGTATTGACACAACAAATGCATGCTATGGAGGCACAGCAGCTTTGTTTAATGCAATTAATTGGGTCGAGTCATCATCATGGGATGGTAGGAAGGCTATTGTAGTGGCTGGTGATATTGCAGTTTATGGGAAAGGCCCTGCTAGGCCTACAGGTGGTGCAGGAGCAGTGGCAATGCTTGTGGGACCCAATGCACCTCTAGTTTTTGATAAAGGTGTAAGAGCTTCATATATGACCCATGCATATGATTTTTACAAGCCAGATCTTGCATCAGAGTTTCCATTTGTTGATGGGAAACTGTCAATCAAATGCTACCTCAGTGCTTTAGATAATTGTTATAATTTATTCTGTAAAAAAATGAGACGAACAGATCCTAATTTTAAAGGTTTGTTGAGCTTAGATGCAATGTTATTTCATTCACCATATTGTAAATTAGTGCAAAAGTCACTAGCACGAATTAGTTTCAATGACTTCCTTAATTGTCCTCCTGAGGAACGTGAGAAATTGTTCCCTGGAATGTCAGCATTCAGTGATTATAAGCTGGAAGACACATACTTTGATAGAGACATTGAGAAGGCCTTTATGACATACAGCCAACACTTATTTGATGAGAAAACGAAGCCAGCACTCCATATTGCAAGAAATGTAGGAAACATGTACACTCCATCTTTGTATGGAGGTTTAGTGTCATATTTGATTAGTAAATCACCAGAGCAGTTGGTTGGGAAAAAGTTTGGATTGTTTTCTTATGGTTCTGGTTTGGCATCAACCATGTATTCTATGAACATTTGCAATGATATGAGTGTGGGGTCTAAGTTGGCAACTTTAATTGATTCCCTGCATGAGACAGTTGCATTGTTGGACAAACGTCAAGGTGTAGAGCCAAGAATATTTTCAGAAATAATGGAGAACCGAACACAAAATTATCATACAGCTCCTTATCAGCCAACAGGCTCTATAGATGTTCTATTCCCAGGGACATACTACCTCATTAACATTGATGACCAAAGAAGACGTACATATGCACGTAAAGATTGAAATATTATTAATAACTTAATTTGGTGCAGACATTGGTGATGGAGAAAATTTGTGGGGATTATAAATGTCTAAATAATGTTGAAATAACTGGTTATTTATTTTAATGTTAGGAAATTACAGAAATTGGCAATATCCAGTTATATGACTGGTATTAGAATTGCTACTTAGTAGGTGTCTACTAATGATATTGTTTAATTTTAATAGATTTATTAATCACCACTTTATGTGTTTATTCCTTATCACAAAACTGATAGACTTAGCTTCCAAGTTAGCAAATTTCTTATCACAGAATACTTAATAGTATTCCATACGAAATATTTATTATTATGTTATATAATTAAAATATGTTTGTATGTTTTGTGCTTAGTTTATAATTTTTTATGTTACCCAAGACAAATAGCAGAATGATGATGAAATATTCTATTATAATTGATCAAATGAAAACCTGGAATAATTAAATGGTTTATTAATAACAAATAACTCTAATTGGTATTCAGTTTATTAGTTTTTGATGTCTTTTTAATTTCAATGTTTGTAAAATAGTTACTAATTTTATAATAATACCACAATGTTGCAAACTCAAAGGAAACATGCATTTTTTATGATGTTATACTTTTAAAGAGTTCTGTTCAATCAATTTTACAAAATATTATTTATACTTTTTTATTGTTCGTAAAGGCACTAAGCAGAGTGCAGATTGAGTATTATTAAATATTATTTAATCTAATAGTGATGTGGTGGAGAATGAAAACTTAAAAAATGTGAAAACATTTTTATGCAATAAATAAATCATATAATTGGTGCTCACTATATTGTATTTTTTTTTGTTTCTAGAAACATTTGGAATAATTTCAGAAACCTACATTTTATGAATCATTTGTTTTTTTTTTACATACAATACTAAACTAAAATTTATATTCTAATTTTAACCATGTTTAAGTTCAAAGTCTGAGTGTACTGTTGAGTAAACATATCTCTATTATAAGATTCCTAAATTTAAAGATCACGTGTATATTATAGAAATACTAAAAAACTCTGGCGTATGACTGTGGCTGGTTATTTATCTATAATATCAATATATCATTGTGAATACATACAAAATTTAGCGAAAATACAGGTGAAATTACCTGTTTTCCCGCGTAAATTATGGCACCCTCATAAACATGCTGTAGCTTCCTGTAGGTGAAAGATATTTAAAAATCTGTTCCAGTAGTTATGGAACCTGTTCAATATTAATGCAAAAAAAAAAACAACCGACCAAGTGCGAGTCAGATTAAAAAGAATGACGTTTACTGTATGAGAGTCATTTAAATATTTATTTTATGGCAACAGAAATATATCATCTGTGAATTTCAAACTGTCTAACTTCCACGATTCATGAGATCTAGCCTGGTGACAGACAAGACGGCGAAGTATTAGTAATAAATAGGGTTCCCATCTTACCTTTTGGGTATGGACCCTAAAATGAACAATGAAAAATTTCCCTTTTTTTAATATTAGTATAGATAATTTTAAATGAAAATGAATCATACCTATTTTTTATTTACATGTCTAACGATTAGTAGTAGTAACACACGTTTAAAAAGTGGAACTACTCGTCTTTAACGGTGATATTAATACACAAGGTTAAATTTAGGCTAAAAATAAATATATAAATTTACGCCAGAATAAATTTACGCTAAAATTGCGATTTTAGTATTATATAATTCAAATTCATATACGGAGAATAAGTAAACCTAGTGCATATTACTCCCTTAGAACCTCGTATTAGGTTAACCTTGTCTAATAATATGAATTTTTACTAATACTAAGTGCAGTCTCAGCGAAAATCTACTCCAACTCTAAACCTCGTTTATTAATAACACTTAATTATTAGGCACGGTTACCACAAACATTTGACCGTGTAATAAATGAACTGTGTGACTTCGTTGTAAAACCTGTCGTTATTACGGTAAAAAATTCCTGATGCCCATACTAGGGCATTTATCACGTGATTTCGCAAGTTCGGTTAAGAGGGCGTATACACCAATAGATTTCAAAGTCAATGATATAAACTTAAATCAATAACTTAAAATTAGTTTGTTTAAGAAACGCTAGAAAAAACGATGTAGTATTCTGTTATTAAGAGTATTGCAAAACAGTAAAAACTTATTTTTGATTTTGTTTCAAAAAAATCACACAAAATTCTTTTTTTTTTACATTTGTCGTAATTATATTCGCCCTTATAAGTGTTCCGTAAAGTCCCAGTAATAATAAAGCTCTCGGCTACGAATAAATCATTTACAAGTTGATCGATTTATCATATAAAAAGAGTATAATTATGAGAATAAATAAAAAAATGGTAAATTTTATAACATTATTTTTTTTTTTATCTAGAAATTCACATTTTGATTGACAGAACCCTTAAAAATATGAGGTTTTGTAATTATTTATTTGTAATTACAGTTTAGTTGTAAGTTATTTTTTGGCACAAAACCAATTCCAAGATAGTCGTAATGGCGTCCCACCCTCTTAAGTGCATTTGCAGACCGTGTGTATGATGTTGACCGTGTGTAGTTTGCGTACCTATGATGTTGTCTTTACTTCGGAATTGGGGATAAAAACCTACATGACCTAGAGCAGGGTATCTCGAACTTTTGGCTCCACGAACCCACGTAAGTATTCGACTCGATGATGCAGTGGTTAGCGCATTTTGGTGGTTTGGTCACGTGTGCAACCTTAATGGTTAAAGCTACCCAGAAATTATTTATGACGGAAATGTTCTCCTTAAAATTATATAAAAAATATCCCACGACAGCATATGTCTATCTTTTATGGTTGACTCGCAATAATACGTGTAGCTCCCGATAGCTTTGCAGTTCGAAGCTTTCTGATTGTATTTGTCTATTGTCTACTCTTACGTTTATAACACTCACAGTCATCCCTAATTAAAAAAGTTAACAGTATTAAGTATTCCATAAAAAAGAATCATAGAAATCGGTATAGTACCTATGATGTTGTCTTTACTTCGGAATTGGGGATAAAAACCTACATGACCTAGAGCAGGGTATCTCGAACTTTTGGCTCCACGAACCCACGTAAGTATTCGACTCGATGATGCAGTGGTTAGCGCATTTTGGTGGTTTGGTCACGTGTGCAACCTTAATGGTTAAAGCTACCCAGAAATTATTTATGACGGAAATGTTCTCCTTAAAATTATATAAAAAATATCCCACGACAGCATATGTCTATCTTTTATGGTTGACTCGCAATAATACGTGTAGCTCCCGATAGCTTTGCAGTTCGAAGCTTTCTGATTGTATTTGTCTATTGTCTACTCTTACGTTTATAACACTCACAGTCATCCCTAATTAAAAAAGTTAACAGTATTAAGTATTCCATAAAAAAGAATCATAGAAATCGGTATAGAAATATATTAGTCGAAATTGATTTTTGAGAAACACATTGGTTTAATGATATTAGTCTTCAGGTAGCTACAAAGACGCACACATGAGAAAGACATGTCTTATAAAAAAACAGGAACCTAGGGTTTGTTAATGTCAAGTTAATAATTTCATTTTGTTACTATTTTATCATCCTTGACCCGATATATCTATACTAATATTATAAAGCTGAAGTGTTTGTTTGTTTGAACGCGCTAATTAATTCCTGAGGAATTACTGGTTCGAATTGAAAAAATTTTTTGTGTTGAATTGACCATTTATCGAGGAAGGCTTTAGGCTATATAACATCACGTTGCAACTATTAGGGGCGAAGAAATAATGAAAAACGTGGACGAAGTCGCTGGCGGCCACTAGTTGACAATAAAACAACCACCACGGCATGTCATGACAGTCGTATCATATGATAACAAAAATAATTTTATGTTTTGAAAGAATATTCAAAAACAATTATCCCAAACTAATAATATTACATTAACCTTATTAGACTGGAGCTTATAAATCCTTAACTCAATCTACATAGAGTTCAAAATAATTTGGGGAAACTTGTTTTCTTGTAACTCGATCACTGTGTCAACGTGTCAACATATTTTTTTTGTTCTTTTTTCGACACACACACTTCACACTAGTCGATGCCTCGACTTTAATTGAATTATCGTAGCTAGAATATGCTTACATACAATAAACAAAATACTTATATGGAACTAGCTGTTTTCAGCGACTTCGGCCACTAAGTTACTAGAATTGTAGAATCGATGCATATTCGATGTAAACAAACAACAATCAAATATAGTTTATATAACAAAACGGAGGAAAATTACAATTTCTATTTAGTGCATAGTGTAGTTTTCCAACGTTCTTGTAAATGGTTAAGAATAAACGATATTGACTTTGATAGATGAATTTGTAAATATTTGAACCTAATTGTTTAAGCTTTCAAATTGACTGGATACATTTTACAGTTTAAACAGCGGAGATCAACAGATTCGTGGAATTCAGGAACTCTGAATAAAGTAAGGCTAAGTACTAGACGTATGTAACCAACCCAAGAAAAATACCTTTCCTCATGCGTAAAATACATAACTTCATCCTCAATTACCGAAACCAAAATCTCTCTTCAAAAAGACAGACCTATGAAGATGATGGGTGTGTTACATATAAGTATCTTTGTCATAACAATATTCAAACAATATTGTCGCAAACTTTAAACTTCATATTTAACATAACAATATTGCAGCGACATTGTCACAAACATATTTGACGCAGCAATTTAGAATCAAAGAAAAATCAAACTTGCCCCAAGTTAGCATGTTGTCTGGGATATAATAAACTCTAATTTTGCTGATACGTGGAAATCTCTTCGCACTTTAGGTTTTCCTTTAATTGATCTTAACAAAGCATTTTACCTCGGTATGTTCACTATGTAACTCTAGAGTTTCATCCACTGTATCCACCTTTGCTTCCGCTGCTGATTATTTTGACGATCCATTTTCTTTCACTCCCGTCATTGATGAGGCCGTTCGTAAAATCGTGCTATCTTTCAAATCTAACGCCGTGGTTTATGACAATATCGGATGAAAGATAATTATTCCTATTCTCAACTATATTGTCCCTATCCTCACTTTTATCTTAAACTTTTCATTTTCTTCTGGTGTATTCCCTACTTCTTGGAAAAAGGCATTCACAATTCCACTTCCACAAATCTCTTATCCTTCATCTCTCAAACACTTAGGGCCTATCTCGATTCTGCCATTTCTTTCAAAAATCCTAGAAGCAGCAGTTCGCAAACAACTTTCTTCTTTCATTCTCCGTAAGAATGTTTTGAGTTCTTTTCAGTCTGGTTTTCGGCTTGGTCATAGTACCACCACCGCTCTTCTTAATGTATTGGAATCTTATCAAACTTTTTTTTATATTGGACCAAAAGTTTTGAATGATCAAAAGATTAATAAAAACTAAGTAAACTTAAAGTAATAATTGCCTCGAAATATGTATTCCAGGTACTCGAGTACCCGTGTACCTGCTAGGTATTCAAGTCAGTTCCTAGGTACACTTGCACTAGCTTTGATACGTCAAAGTTTGTGCCAGTTTGTCACTCTGAAACTAGACAGTTTAATTTAAACTTGCTGCAAGTTGCTGCAGTTGTCATGGCAAACCTGAAGCATACCTTCTTTTTTGGTGTATCACACTTGTTGCAAGTCAGACACAAGTTTAAATTGATATCTGGGATTGGAGTCTTTCACGCCTTTCTTGTCATGTCAAGTCAAGTCTTTCAAAATTAAAACATTACATCTTTACTAGGAAATTGCCAGATGGGATTCCATTTCAGAGTACGAGGGACAAAGTGGATTTTTTAAGCATTTTTCATATA